TCCAAACTCGGATGGTCGCGTGATACCTACCAGAACACCTATGCGCCAGCGCTCCCAAAATCGGTATCGTATTTATGACCATTCTTCCATTTTGTGCTCATCAAACATATGTAGGCGATATTGGGCGCTCACGGTTACAAACTACATGAGACTTACAATCCATCATGGATTCAGGTGGAGGTACCCAAGCCTTTCTTGGAGCTAGTTTGCCCTGCAGCAGAGAGAAATATTGAGTCGGTTAAAGGTCTGGTGTCATCAATGATTAGATTACAGCGCACTTAGATCAATTATAGGCCTTAAGGATCGAGTCGGGGCCACAAATTATTGGGAAATGGTCATCTGGCTTCGGCCGTACTTATTCCAGGTATGCACAGGCCTATCACCTTTGTTGTTGGCCTTATAATATCGGTTTCAGGCTGCCGCGGCCATATTTCAAGTCAGGCCAAACTCCAAACTCTTTCGACTTCCAGCTCTGGCTCGAGACGACGTTGGTCTTTGGATGCGAAGCGTATTTCCCGTCCACCTCGCCACCATTGACTCAAACGCCATCAACCCTGTAAGTCTCGAGCGCCTTCAAAACGAGATCATGCGTAAATCTCTGGAGCAACTTCGCCAAGAGAGCAGCATGCAGAAAGAGCTTTTGCGCAACAACACAGCCCAGATTGAAAAACTCACGCAAATCGTGCAACGCCGCACATCACGATGGACTCCGGCAAAGGCTATTTCATACGAAACTTCACGCCCTTCGTCAACTGCGGTTGCTTGCATCTCTCGGCAGCTCGAATTTCGATCAGACTCAACTCTGCCACTTTTGGCGTCGGGCGATCTCGGTGCCCCAGCAGTTATTGGTCCGGAAACTCGTGCGGCGGAAGACACAGGTGTTTATATTGCAGGCGATAATAGTCTCCGTGGGTTCATCGTGCCGTCGCCTCGTCTAGCAACCTCTCCACGTCCACGGACAGAGGTTGACCTTGTCCTGCCACCCCTCATTGCATTTTGTAAACCAGGTATGTCCAATTCAACATCTAACCATTACTTTTGAAGTTTTCATGTATTCAGGCGACGATCTCCTCTTGGAACACCCAGTTCTGGGGCAAGGATCTGTCCACTGGAACGATGTCTTCGCACAAGTTAAGCAACCTGGACCGCTTTGGGACGCGTGGAAGCCATCAAAGACTCTCGATCAGATGTCGATTCAGGACGTCTGGGATTGTTACAATGTTGGCGAGGGCGTCGAGGAGAATGGAGCGCAAACTGGGGTCAAACCCCCACTTCGCTTAGTTGAGCAAGCATTCGGTTCAGAATGGCGCAAGGCAGGAAAGGTGATTGTTTTTTGGTGATCAAGCATATGATTACAGCTGACTTGCCTTTCAGGACAGAAAGGCCTGGCAACGTTTCCGCGAGATCCCCGAGTGGATTGACCTCAAGATAAAGAATGGGTTCACAGCTTCGCAGGCAATCGACACACTCGAGGGGATGAGATCAGTACCTGGCAAATCACGTCTGTTAGGCACAAGCGGACTGGTCGAAATTCTCGCCACCGAGAGAAAAGCCGCCGCGAAGGTACGTTCCTTTCATGTACTAGACTAAATATCATGACCCACTTAATTCTACAGTCCGCAAAAGACGGCAATAGTTCGAACGCAACCTGTACAGCAAGCTTGGATATTGAAGAGACAACTTCGATAGCAACGGGCTCAAAGCGTCGCGCCCCCACAGTTGGTGGCCGACCAAAACCAAAGAAAGAACGGAGGTCATAGGTAAAGTCATATGTTACTTGTTGTATGTTATTCATCTCGCTTTGTTCTTTCGTGAATACATGATTATAAACTTGGAATTTTTGAGACATGAACAATTTGCAACTGAATCATTTCCGATATCCCGCCTCTTCCCAACCCAACCTCTGAGAATGGGTGTTCACGGCTTGTGGAAGGTTTGAACACCTCACTTTTTTTTTCCGAGATGTGAAATGTGTCTGGTTTTTAGTGCATTCAGGCGGCCGAGAGCATTACTTCTTTGCAAGATCTCACCGTCATCGAAGGCTATGAGCGAAACTCACAAGGACACCATACTCTGATTATTGGTGTCGACACGGAGTAAGCGTAAATTTATTTCTTACGCCCAATTTTAAAACACGACTGGGTTCACAGTGCGATTATGTCACAGTGCATTGCAGCGGCACATGCAAATGGCCACGTTCATGGCCCCGGGCACCTCCAAATATTTTTCTACAAGCTCTGCAAATTTCTACGAAGCCCTGCTACTTGGGTCTTTGTTTTCGATGGCCCTAACCGCCCAAGTATCAAGCGGGGTAAGGCCGTGAACAGCTCAACTGCACCATCATGGGTTGGCCCATGCAAAGACCTGATTGAGTGCTTCGGATTTCATGTTCATCAGGTATCTAGAGTCCTCCCCCCTGCCAGTTGGTTTTTTCTCATGAACTTTTGTATTAGGCTCCCGGAGAGGGAGAGGCTGAACTCGCAAAACTGAGCTCTCACAGCTTTATCGACGTGATTCTTACTACAGATAGTGATATCTTTGTCTTTGGGGGTATATGTGTTCTGCGAAGGTAGGGGATTTTTACAAAAACAGCTTCAACCATTTAAAATTCAGCGTGTTTAGTACGTCAGTAAAAAACAAACCAACTGAACATGCTGATGAAATTGGCTTATTCACTGCGGACGCCATTGAAAATACCGAAGGGTTGACACTGGGAGGACTCTTGCTGCTTGCCTTGTTATCGGGCGGGGATTACGCAGCGGGGTTAGAGGGCTGTGGTGAGGTCACCGCTCACGGGCTTGCCAAGTGTGGCTTTGGGGATGAGCTCCTCGGGGCCTTCAATACCCTGCATGGTGAAGATCTTTCTACCTTCTTGGTATCCTGGGTTGACAGCATCCGCAATGAACTGGTCTCGAATACTCATGGCTTCCTTCCCTCACGTCGCCCAGCCCTTGCTGATGCTATCCCACCCGACTTTCCTCCAGTGAATGTTATTGAGTTTTACGTGCAGCCGAAAACAACTTCATTTTTCCCTTCTGGCGAGCTCCCCTTTGCGGCGTGGAAACCACGTGAAATTCGCATCAACAAACTCGCATCGTTTTCCGCAAAGAACCTTGGTTGGACAGATGCAACAGCGCTCCGAAAAACATTTCACTCCAATATTTGGGAGGGTGTTTTTCTTCAAATGTTGATTTCCGTAAGATTGACATTTCTTGCTATACCTTCAGCGCACTGATAGCCATTTTATTTTCATTTTTAACTAGCCCTGGGTGCTCTATAATCCCGAGACTCACATCATGCGAACTGATAACATGAACACCACAATTCTAGAACTTCAACCGAAGCAACGCCAGACCCGTCGTCAATCAAATATCTGTTCTTGGCACCGTGTTAAAATCTCAACCGACAACTTCATTGAATTGATGGGGCTACGTTACAGAACAGAAGGCGAGAACAAGCTTAGCCTCTGGGTTCCAGCTTCGTTGTTCCCAGAAAACACGGCTTCTGTTAGTCAGGGCAAAGCCAAACGCAAACGAACGGTGAAACGCCAGGCGGCTAAGTCAGAAGCACCCGAATCAGGCCAATCCACTCAATTCACTGAGTCACCAGTCATCGACCTCCCTTTATTCCTGCCAATCCCCTTACCACCTCGAAAACCAACTGAGGTATCCCAGCATTCTTCAACTTCTGACAGACAAGACTTTGGAGGAGGACAATCCCTTTCCTACAATGCTTCGGGTCCAGGGCAGTCATCTCCAAGTGGTCCGGACATCGATCTCACTGTTGCCGAGAACACAACATGCAAATCCCCGAGTGCATCCTGTTACAACAGTGTGGTCTCTCCCATCATTGATCTCACTGCTGAGGACCTGAGCGCACAGGCCGAGTCTTCTGCCATGGGCGCTCAGCACCACGGCAAGCGCCAGGGTATTGATACATACAACGACGACATTATCTACATTAGTGATTAAAGCATTCAACGTGGCTGTTCTTACATGAATCGAGTCCAACAAGAGTGTATGATTTATTGAATAAAAGTATATGTACTTGACAGAAAATTGTATCTAGTTAAACAATGCGATTGAGAAGTACTTCAAAATCACTCTCATATCTCCCCTCACAATACTATTCAGTCAAATTCTCTTTCCCCACCAAAATTCCAACAGACGAGCCTGAGCATCGATGAAGAGAGGGGGAGCAGTGATTGATGAGCGGCACGTGGTGGAGAAGACGGAGGGTCGCTTCGAAAAGTCGGGGCAAAGGGGTGGTGAGGGCGGTTGGGATGCGAGGGATATGAAGGCGGGCAGGGAAAGTGCGCGTGAAGCAAAGAGACAACGGAGGATGGTAACGGAGGAGCGGGGACGGAGAGTCGAGTGGCCCGCGCCCATGCCAAAGCGATGTGACGACGACGGGCAGCCACCTGCCAAAGCGTGGTGACGAGCTGGAGCGAGGCCGGAGGACGAAAGCAGCTTAAACGCTGTGACGAGGGCGAAAAGAAATGGCTGACATAAGGTGTCGAGCGGTGACGCCGAGCTGGGACGGCGTCACGTCGTCACGAGGAATGCGCCTCAGAACACTTCTTCGCGTGACTTATTCCTCGTTCCCGGTGGTCGATACTTAATCCATTTTTGTGACGACCGAATCAGCCTGTATGACCTTGGACATACTCCTCATAGTCCCTTACTGGATCATGCTCGTGTGGAAGCTCAACTTGAATATGGAGGGATTTATCTGGTTCACCCCAGCCCAGATGGCTCAGCGCTCCGAATCTTCCTTTCGATAAGGCTCACTGACGACGAAAGAAACCAGTTAGGTCTAAACAGAGTGTCGGTTGTCTTGTATTTTTGTAATTGTAGTCATTTCACTCAGTTTTATTTTATTTTGGCAGATGGCACAAGTTCCAGGTATATGAAATATACCCTCATCATGACCACCCACGGTTTGAGCTACTCTCTCAGTGGTCGGCCATGCAAACCTGGACGTCCCCGATCAACCTATATTCAATACACCTCAATCGGGTAGTTATCAAGTTTGGTAATGTCGTAACGGTTTGGGACTTCGTAACCGCTACATCAGCATCATGGCGTGTTGTGGGCAATTTTCATCGAGTGCGCTCTGTTCCTTCTCATACCCCGCATTTTGATAACTTTCTTGGTGCAGATCATCATCGCTGACGACACAATCATTTTGTTTGGGAATACAGGCATTTCTGTGTGGAGTATGCCAGCCCTTCTGCCTCATGATCATGAACATACCACCCTCAGGCCACATGCAGACATCCCCATTCTCAACCCACTCTTCGGAATTGATTATCCTGGAGGCGTGGCCCTCCTTGACGATAACCCTTTCTCTGAATCCGTCATTAGAGGACCCTCAAACTGGTATACAGAGCCTCGGTGTTACGACATTGTTAGCCCAAGCAAAGCTGGCTTTGCGATCTCGCACTATCTAGTGGTCCTCAACGAGGATATGACTGGGGGTACCATCGAAAAGACTGCATCCTATGAGCTTATGATCACCCCAGGGATGCATATCGACGATATCTTCATCAATTGCTACTGCATATATCACAATCAGCTGGTTTTGTGCTGGGGGGAGGAGTTCAGCATCAAAGTTTATGTGTTTGCATTCTCCTCCCAGGAAAATATAATTTCAACGCCTGATAAGTTCTTGACCCTTGGGAAAGTGGTCGAAGCTGTATCCTTGTGTCCGTTTTCAGCTAGGCATTGTCTACTTTCCGCTGACGAGATTATCGTTCACGACTTTCGTTTTCCTCTCTTCTCAAGTGTCCAGTCCGGCGTTTGATTGTCCAATTGCATTCTTCGCCACTTCAAGCACTGGCGGGTAGTTGGAGACTGAGATAGGTGATTGTTGGACACGAGTATGGACCTTGAAAAAATTCAAAATGCGTTAGTAGAAGACCCATATTAAAGGAAACCAATCTGCGGCGATAGGTTGTGGTTGAGTGAATGGACGACGTCGTTTTTGTCAACGATATTATAATTCGTACGTGTGTTTGCATAAAACGAACATGAACAAACCGCCCGCAAAAACGGACAGTAATGGCAGCAGGGTATTTGATCATAAGATAATCAAAACAAAACAGCATATCAACGCTCACTACGACCGCTTTTTCTTACTTGCAGCCGCAGTCCCACTCCTACTCGTCCCCTTCCTCGTCTTCACAGGCGCTTCCAAATCACCCACACTCCCCGTCGTCGTCAACCTAGACGACCTCCTCCTCGTCTTCACTCCATCCCCAGTCTCCCCATCACCCACATCCGACATGGACGCTGACGAGCGTGGTTTCCGGGTCGGACGCGCAGCCGCTTTCCCCAGTGGTGCAGTTGACACAGGCGGCCCAGGTAACGGCATCACATGGTCCTGTTCCTCCCCCTCCTCCTCCTCGTTATCATTATCCGACAAAGCACCCGGGAAACTCCCCACTGGTTCCCGCGTTTTCGTCTGACGCTTTGTTGTGCGGGTAGGTTTGGTAGGCGCATCAGTCGTTCTTTTACTAGTTCGTGCGCTTTTCCTCTTTTGGTTGCTTGGTTGCTGCCGTTGCTCTTCCTGTTCCTGCTGCGGTGGTTCATCATCCTCATCTTCGTGTGTATCATCATCGTCCAGGAAGGCTCCTGGCGGCAACCGTTTCCTCTGTGACGCTGACAGCGACAGCTCATTCTTGTGGCTTTGGGAAGCAGCTAGTTTTTCCGGAGCAGAGGTCTTCGTTCCTCGAGTGTTCCCAAATACCGAAAATTCAAGCACCATATTTTCATCGTCTGGCCGTGTCGTGTGTCCGTTCGCGGTACCATTGGTATGAGGCTCCTTCTCCGAACTTTCATCAAGATCCATAACCTCATTTTCACTCTGCTGGTCCATCGAAACCAACGGGTTTGGTCGTTCAGGACTCACAGACAGGCCATCAAACGGTCTCTTGACCCCATTTGTCTTAGCAGGCTGAGGGGGCTGGTAAAACGCATTTTGTCGACTTCCCGAGGGTGTGAAGTTGATGGGCTGAGGAATTCCTTTGCCATTCGTCGAACTCCCCAGTGGCGGGAACTTGAGCCCACTCGCAGGCGAAGAAGTGCCCCCAAAGGTGCCCAACATACGGCTACCAACACCACTGAGTGAGTTGAGTGATTGGCGTGGTTGCTTTGATGACGAAGATGAAGGACCCAAAAGCGATGAGGTGAGTGGTGTAGTAGCAGGGAATCCAAGACTCTTCCGCGGTGTAGGGATGCTGGAGCTCCCGCTGGCGGGGTTGGTGATGGTCGTAGAGGTAATAGGGAGGAGCGGAGCTGCAGTTACGGGCTGAGGTAGACGAGCGTTGTTCATGCTGATCGGGCCTCCAAAACGGGGTGCACCTGATTGCTTGGAAATAGACCCATTCAGATCTGGTGCACGTATATTTTGTATTGATGAAGTAGACTGATTCAACGCGTCTGAGGGTCGAACGTCTTCCCATGATTGGGACATGGTGACGTCCGCAGCGACATTCGCAGAACCATTGACAGGTCTTGGGGGAGCAGCAGCGGGTGTGGGGTTCGCCGCAGAATTTAACTCTGCGTCGAGCTGAGCGCGCTCGGCAGAGGTCAAGGCGGCATACAAGTCTTGCACCATTTTTTTGCGGTCTTGCGTCGCCTTGAGGTTTTGGCTGGTCGCAGGGGAGGAACTGAACTGACGGTCGAGTTTGATCGCCTCGGCGTGTCTTCCTGCTTGAATTAGTCGTACGCACACAAGGTCTTGAAGAATGGCGGCGTCAGAAGACTTTATCGAAGCAGGGGGATCTTGCGCGTATGAGTGGAGTAAACCCTCTTCAAAGGGCGATAAGGGCAAGGAGATGAGCATCGTCAACGCCGCAGGCCGTGGTTCAGCTAGATGACAAAATCATCAGCGAACTCCAAAGACAACGCCCAAAACACACAAAATCCCACTCACGGGTAACAACCCACTCCAACAACTTCTCAAACAGCTTCGGACGCATGAAATCCTTGTCATGAAACGTTCTTTGAAACGTCCACGCCTCGAGCAAACTCGACTCCGCCAGCGCAACCAAATACATAATCAAATCATTCGGCTCCGTAAGCGATGGTTTCGCTGTACGGACATACCTCCGAATCAGCGGGGCAGGATCAGGCGTCAACGAAATAGCCTGCAATATCTTGCTCGCATAGTCCCTGTTCAGCCTTGCATCCGAAAGGAGCGTAACAGCCCTCTGCAACCCAATTGTAATCACAATAAACTTTCTTCAAGTGGCCCAAAAACTCACCGGAACGTTAATCCCCGAATCCAAATACCAGTACGCGTCCGCCAACATCGTAAACTGCGGCGGTATACAACACACCTTTGCCAATTTCTCCTCCCTCCCATCCTGATGCCACTTTAACAAAAAATACACCAAACAGTTTTTCTTGAGCGCGTCATAATGCGACGACCCAATCGCGTCCAAAAGGCGCCGCAGACCCTGCGGATCCGTAGGTGGGTAGATGAGGTCCGCGTCACGAATGGCTCCGCCGGAGGTGAGGAGGATGTCGAAGATGAGGCGGTCGCTCATTGCTGCGCGCCGAGCCTCGATTTGCTGTGGACGCGGTTGGCGCCATGCAAAACCCGTTGGAGAGAGGTCAAAGTAGTTGATTACAGGTGAGCCTCTTATGATTTGAACCGAGTCCTGTCAGTCTTTATCAGCGCCAACAGAAAGTGCAATGGGAGATGGGGAACTGACATCCTCCATTTTTATACGAGGGTCAACGTGGAGTTGAACAAAGGTGAAGACATTACGTAATGCAATGTGACGGGAGTAATAACGAAAACAATCAATGATTTTTTCCATTCACTTCGTATATATGTCACGATGAACAGGAGGATAATGACAAAACTAGTGCTAAGGAGCGTGTAACGATCACAGGGACGTGTATAAATGGTCAGAGAGGGGAGGTAAGGAGGGACGTATGTATGCGGTGAGGGTGAGGAGGGGTGTAATACAATGATTTCGGTTTCGTCGGTTTTGGAGGAAAGATGGGGGGGGGATAGCGAGAGGATAGTATGTAGGTGGTGGTGGTGGTGGTGGTGGGATAATGATGATGCAATGTGCAAGAAAAAAGGGGAGATGTAATATGTACAATCTATGTATGACTTGAATCTTTCAGTCCATGAATGTGGTGAAGAAAAAAGTTGAAACGGAATGCACAGTTTGGGTTGGGGTTGTAGCAGAATTGAGAGATTATGAAGCATTGGAGTCGAGGGGATGTGCTGGCATTGGTGTGGGTGGGGTATGCTGTTTTTCGCCGCCTGGTGAAAGGCCTGGGTGCAAAGGCAATGGCAAGGTAGAAAGGAAAAGTCGACAACCTATCAAACCAAAAACACTCAGCCAAAACCCACCCAACAACAACAACAAAAAACTCACCATCCAATCCAATCAAGAGCACAAGTGAAGAAGAACACAACGGTGACGCAAGATGACAGGTTCGCAAGCACACTTCCCATCTCCCCCTACGCCATCCAAGAGGAGAAGAGAACAAACAGGAAGAGAGGGGGGGGGGGAACGCCAAAAATCGTGTATGTATATGTGGCAATCATCAGGGGGGAGAGAAAAAATACGTAAAGAAAAAAAGGGAAGGGGAGAAATTGCAACGACGATACTGCTCGGGGATACTGGATACACTTGAGTTGGTTGTTGTTGAGACATGACGAGAAAAAGAAGAAAAAAAAGGAAACGATCATAAAGTAGGTGAAGTGGATCAAAAAAGGGACGGGCACCCCCAGAAAGCCACGTCTAAAAAGGGAGGGAGGTGCCCAAGAAAGAAAATCCATAAGATACTCGGGAAGTAAAAGGGTGGCGGAAATAGAAATGGAAAGTGGAACAAAAAGGCAATATTGAAAAGGCTGATAGATACGAGAAAAGTGGGGTTTGAATTGGGGGCGTGATCATAAAAAATGAACTTTGCTTGCATGGGTGTTGTCACAATTGCAATATTTTATTTAATGCAATAATAGGAATAGTCGTGGAGGCGTGGAGCGGAGGGATCCAAAAACAACAAGCATTCGAGTTTGATGGGATGACGAGTGAGTGAGTTGATTGATTGTGCGAGGATCCGCTTGAAGAGTATAGGGATGAGCGCCTCGCAAGATCTAAACACGAGGAATAGCCAACGCCAACTTCAGATTCGGGAATGCATGTATTGATGTTGGCCGTTGTGGGGAATGAATGGAAAAATTGGAATCCGACAAGGCAAGACGGGATAGCGAATAACTTATTTGCCGCGACCGAGGGACGTCCACCCAACGTTGTACTTTGGGAAGGGTGGGAGAAGTGTGGTATCGTTGGGATGAGCCAGGCGATAAAGTCAAGACGATCCAGGTGACAACGTCAAGACGATCCAGGTGTAATGAAGTCAACATAATCCATCAACATCACCACCTCCCAACAAATCCACCAGAGCCCATCATCGCCCATCATCATCGCGGCATAAAGACAAAAAAAAAGTTTATACAACAACATAAGAATGCGGTTCCCATATTTTTTATACAATCCACAGAAAGAAGAATCGGGGGGGGGGGGGGGGTAGGAAGGAAGGATGGATGGATGAGATGAAGTGCGGATAGATAGTCGTGACGTGATGTATTGCGGGGGTGTTAAGCGGTTTGCGTGGATGGATGGATGGAGGGGGGGTATGAAGCGGCGATAATGGAATGAATTGAACATGACGGGATAGATGAATGAATAGACAGGTCATAAGTTGCGATCCACATCAAATAGGTTGTTTATTATACGCGCAAAAACCCCCCATTTTCATGAGGGGGAAAAACACGAATAAGAGCGAGGTTGTCCTGAACGAATAAGCCATAAACCAGTGTGTTTTCTGTTCACAAACGAAAAAAAGAGAGAAGCGCAGAGCCATGGAAGCGTTATGATGATTTAGATGCATGCATGATTGTTGTTGTTGGTTGTGTTTGGTGGTTGTGAGGTATGAGAGTGTGGTTGGTGTGGATGCACCGCCGTTACATAGAGCACGACGCAAAAGGAAGGGAGGAGGGAAGCTAATACATAGGCGCTTCCTCCTCCTCTGTCGTCGTAAAGTTGGCATGGATGGATGGTGTAGGCCCAAGTGATGTGCATGTTGGAGCCAAGAACCGAGATGAACTCCCTAAAAAGAACCCGAAAGAAATTATGAACATGGCCTAGAGAGCAAGGTGGACATGTCCAGTGTGATATGACACTCGGCAAGGAATAACGATATTGATCAAAGCGTGTGATGATGAATAGTATTGATACATTGATGCTTGGTGGGTGTGCTTCGATGCAGTGAAATATAATGGATGAGTGGGTACAAGTAGGGAGGTGAGGGTCGGCGTGGATGGGTCGTGCCAATGAACGGGCGGGCAAAAGAATGACGGCGTGCAGAGACAAGTGACAAGAAATACATCTAAAAAAATTAACTTCAACAGCTGAAACCTTCATTAGTTTTAGCTTTTTAAACGAAGAAACAACATTTACCTCTAAACTTCTCTCTAATTAATCGCGAAATAAAATTCTTCAAACGAAAAGAGGGTCCGGCAGTTCCTCCGGACTTGGCGAGTTCTGGAACATGGAACTTGCGAAATACCCTGCGGCTTTTTCAGCTGCCTCTCTTTCTAGTTGTTTTTCCCTCGAGAGCGGGAATGCCGGTGGAGATGATGAGGATTCCCTGAAATGCGTAGAGGGAACAGCGCGGGACAGCGTTGGCGTTACAAGGGGAGACGAAGTCTCCGGTGCTGGGGTGCGTGTAAGCCCGAACAAAGCTTGGACGTTCGGGTTCAAGATGGTGCCACCTGGTCCGGTGGACACATCCTCATCAGAGGACATATTGAATATGCCCTCGCTCGGGGCCCTACGATGCTTCCTACCGCCCCGCTTGGGTGACACAGGCGACGGATAGTTGTTGATGCCGTTGAATGAAAACTCTCCAGGGGACCGACGAGAGATGGGAGCGGTATGTGGCACCTGATATTGTTTGCGGACGGGAGTGACAGGTGGCGAAAGAGTGGTGTTGTCTTGGTCAAAATCGCCTACCTCTGTCATATCGTCACAAATTGGGAAATCCCAGGCTGAAGAGGATCGACGGACAGTGGGTCGTTGTGGCATATGCGACGGGACAGGTTCAGAGCGGGAAAGGGTAGATGGGCCGGTGCGTTTTGATTTTGGGACGGGGATCGCCTTTGACAAGACAGGAGAGGGAGAAGGGGTAGCGAATTGAGGCTGCTGCTGCCTTCTTCTTGCGAGCTTTCCGGAGGGACGAGGAGCCAGAGTGGGAGAAGAAGTGGGAGTTTGAAGAGCAGAAGAGTGTGAAGAATCATCGAGAAAGGGATCGAAGAGATTTGTTGATGAAGAAATTACGGCTGCCTCTGCCTGCGAGGATAATAATTGATTCTGGGAGATGGGGGGAGAGGGCTGGCGACCGGGCTTGCCTCGAACACCGGAGTGAGAGGCACTTCTAGGGCTGTGGCCAGGTCAAAACTACTATAACAATGAAAAACATTTAATCGCACCTCTGCGTGGTCTTTGCCTGTAATCTGCCCCGTGGTGAAGGTGAGGCAACGGACGCAGGCGCCTTCTTCTCCGTAATCTCAGCCGAGCTCAACAACGGCGCACGGGCAACCGGTGCAGGCTTTGATTTGGGCGTTGGCTTTGTAGGCCGCTGCTGGGACGGCAACGGACGCTGAGGCGACGGCCTCAATGGTTTGGAGAGGGAGAGAAGGCCGGGTGTTCGGGTAGGTTGGACAACGACGGCAGGTGGAGCCGAGGGATGCCTCCTATGGGAATATGATACGGTCTGTGCAAGGTTGAACGTTGGAGGTTTCTGAACGAGCAGCATAGTTGTGGAGAAAGGGGACGGAAAAGGGGGCAGGCAGGGAGGAGAGATGGAAATGAGGTTTGCGAGATGGGTGTTTGTAATATGTATCGTGAGAGATCGTGCCAGCCCCCGTTAACTTTTGTTGCCGAGTGTTTGTTTTCAGTGGCACCGCTCAATTTTTCATGTCCTCATGACGCATCTTAGATCTGACTGCCTTTTCAGGACAAGATCTTCTCCTTGTTCCAGCATCTTCTGCTCAACACAACACTGCCCAATTACAACACCGTCGTCTCACTCCTCGGATAATTACCACAATACTCTTATTCTTCCGAAATCACACCATTCACCTTCTGTCCAGTTCCAATCCACTTTCCCCGCGACCTCGAGGCAATCTCATCTTCTCGTAGGGCTCCAGTCGCCGATACCGCGGCCTTCTATCTACTCTCTACTCTCTACTCAAATCGCACCCAGGCTACGAACCGTCGCGACCTTCCATCGATTCCTCATCAGTTCCCATCTGTCAATTTCCATCACATCTCAGAGGCTCGAAGCCCGCCTCGGAGTCCCCTATCTTATTATCTACTTGCATTGTTAAATCCCTAACGACGCATCCACAAAGATGTCTTGTCCATCCTCTATCTACGCCTTCACTCCTACCTACGTACACAAAGTACCTTGCCCACAAATGCACACGGCTTCTGCTCTCTCCACAATTATGATCCCCGGACACTCATTAAGGTCGTAGATTGGTATCACGCGTTCGCCAAACCCTGCATACAGGAAGCTTTTCAAAGTCGCATGATGCGCCTCCTTCCACGTACGTTCGCATCAGCCCTCGAGTCTTCTATAGCTGGCTAGTCTGAAATGGCAAGCACTAGTGCTTAGTGGGTATGTATGACGACGAGGGTTGGGTATGTAATTCTATGTGATTCAGCACTTCCATCAGAATAAATTTCACGCGCGTATCTTACAAGCGTAGTGCGTTCACTCATTTATCATTCAGGTGCGTATAATAGTAAGGAACAGTGGGCGTCGGTAGGCCATTGTTTTATTTATTCACCCTGTACTACTGTATCAAGGGAAGCTTGAGGGAACCAATGATACCTGGAACTGCAGGGCCCAAGAACAATAGGCAGGTTGAGTACGCACCTGTAGTCAACCCTAGTCAACCGCGAGGAGAGTCAAGTTGATTCGAAATGACGACGGGCGATATGATGACTTGAGGCCTGTTGTCTTGACCCGAGCAACGGTCGCTGTCGTCAAACACAAGAGACTCATCGTGATTTAGCTACACTCCGCACACGAAATCCTTCCTTTCAACCACGTCCAACGCCCAAAAACCTATTGGGGTGACGCACCCCTCTAGATCTTCCTTCTCCTTGTCGACTTCACCAAAATCCTCACGTAGCTTACCCCCCACCAACCCCTCCTTCCTACCAACCATCCCTGCCTCCCTCGCCCCTCAAGCAGTCGTCGAGAGAATTCGAAGACATCCTCAGAGCCGAGGTTAAGAGCAGACAATAGAGCAGCATTCATGATGGTCGACTTCCTCCCAACTCACGACATCAGTCGGGAGGACACTGAAATACGCCAAGAACTTCAGCACCCGAGGAGAGGTGGTGGGGGAGCATTCAAGATTGGGAGGTGTGCGAAGGTCGGCTGTCGTTGACCGTTGGTTTCGTTGGGAAGGAGCGGGCGAATATGGGCGTGCAAAGGAACGCGGAAAGGTAGTTGATTATGTGGAGTCATCTGCAAAACCCTAGGACGACTCAATGAAGCAGATATATCGGTGTTTGAACACGACCCGCTGGGCTACCGCGCGGTACTTCCATCCTTGGAAAGGAGTTTGCGGGTATGAAGAGGGGTGTTCGAATGAAGGCGAACGCTGTGCCTTCTGATGCTATAGCCCCGAAAATTCGGCCACTCACTTCGAGCGATGGTGCTCATGCGTCCATTCGTTGCTGTGCGAACTAGGGAATTACAGCAGGCGCCTTGAGCGGCAGCGAATTTCATCCTCTCGTCGTGAACTCTGTAGGTGCCAAACGGAGCCAGCATGCAAAAAAGTCGAGCCCATTCACCGAAAAGAGTACCGTCATCTAAGGCAAAGACGGGGAGAAGTTGGGGAGAAGGCTGGCGGACAACCCAGGAAGTAAAAATAGTCCTGTTGACTCATGGAGAGTCAACAGGCGGAGTTCCCATGCCTGTGGGTAGTAGCAGCTGTGTTTCCAAATATGGAAACATTACAGTCATCCACCTAGTGGGTGACTTTCCGTAACTCAAATCTATAAAAACAAGCTTTAGACCCGTGCCTACGGCACGGCACTCGCTAACGCTCGGCCGTTCCTCCAGCACTGGTCACAGCTTGCCGGGGGCATGCCCCCTGGACCCCCTGGTACACATGTTTAATCCTAGTTCTGGTACACATGTTCAATTCTGGCTCTTCTTACATCTCAATCAAAATAAAGTGACATTTATCAGTACTTTTACCATTTACATCAATCTAATAATACCTCTGGATAGACTACATTTTGTGTTACAGTTTGTTGTGAACCATCTTTGAAGAGAACTTTGATACGGTTGCTTGATGTGCAATGTGAAAGAGCCACATAAAGTTGTCCATGTGTAAATACTGGGGTCCGAACATCCAGTCCTAAATGTTTCACTGACTGTCCCTGAGATTTGTTGATTGTCATGCAATGCAAAAGGCCAGGCGAACAGGAAATTGCCTTCTGCATAACTGGAATGGAAGTTCACCATTTGAAGGCTCAAATCTTATGTGGGGAATGAATGCTGTGTGTCCTGCAAATTCTCCTCCCAGAATGCGTACTTCTAAAACTCGGGAAGAGGCATGGGTGAGGATTGCCCGGGTTCCATTGCATTGTCCATTTGCTGGATCAATATTTCGAAGGATCATTACTGGTGCACCTATCTTGAGTTTCAATTTTGCTAGAGGCATTCCACTAAGGTTGATGGAATTGAGGTATTCTACTGGGTATTCAAATTCACCATCCACACCTCATCTACCATAGCAGCAGGTGGAAATAGAGGTGGAGGGGCAGCAAGGGGGGCAGCATGAGCCTAAAAGATATATTAAATATTAGAAAAAGAGATATAACTCTGCAACCTACCTGATTTTGCAAATTACCCACTTGTGCAGCCATCCCAGGAGTAAGGTGAAGAATTTGACCATTATATAGAACCTCAACAAATGGATCATCACCTACAGGACCTTGAGGAATTTGAAGAGGAGCAACAGGGGGTGGAATAGGGAAAGGAAGAATAAAAGGTACACCACCACCAACAGCAGGATTTTGAGGTGTTCTCCTATGCTCAGGACTTTCCAACATCCTTTCTTGACGCTCTCTTGCCCTCTCAATATTTCTATGCCTTTGTGGAGTATTAGGAGGAGAATCCCTAGGGAATAAATGATAGTTAAGTAATAAAGGCAGGGAGCAAAAGAAATATCCTACATCAAGACCAAAGGACAACTGAAGCATATATTCTGATTACCAAAAAAAAGAGAAAAAGATCCACATATTGAAGCAACTAACCAATCAGCAAAACCTTGTGAAATCCTATCATCAAAAGTGATCAGAAGCAATCCAAGTGGACAAAATGTCAATTGAAGGTGTCTAAAAATAGTTGAAGGCTTTCCATAATGATCAAAATGTTATCCAGAAACTTACAAAATAATGTATCAGAGTTCGTGGTGGTTTGTGGAACAGTGAGGCAGGAGCAGCCTGAAGCCGTGTTGAGAAGTCTTGTGAGGGTGTGAAGTGCTTAGTAAGATAAAGCTGAATTTGTCAGCCATCAATCCTTTGTGTTTTCATGTATAGATGAATAAATTTGACCCTTATCGGAGTTTGAAACGAGAACTTCACAGGAGAGTTTATTGGAGTGACAGCTAACGAGGTATCGATAGACCAGAATTCAAAATGCTCCGCTTAGTGACTTTGTTTAGTTGTGGAGTCTCAGGGTACGTGCAAACAACCTAACCAGGAATTTATGACTATATACACAACAGCGGGAAGGGGCGGGAAGACAATGCCTGCCAATTGGCTGTGGGAAGTTGTTTGGCCAGCTCCAAAGGTAAATAAAATCACTGAGCGGAGTGTTTGGAGTTCTGGTCTATCGATACCTTGTTAGCTGGAATAAACCATAACGCCAACTGATTAGATTCTATTTGATGTATTTGCTTGCCTTGTACAAACTCACTTCCCTCCCATCTGAGCTGCTCTGAGGTTGTGTAGGCCCATGGATGGGTTTATTATACTGATTGTTCATCCACCCCACTGTAAAATTAGACCACACTCTGGGTGAAGCCCAAAAAATCCCAAGTTGAGCTGAACATGGCTGTGGATCAGTGAGTTAGGTGTCAAGAAGGGTGTTTGTAAAGGGAGCAACAGTTTCCAGGAGGGGATTTTGTAGCCATAAGACATTGACACTTCTAATAGACTCTGTAGTGGCCTTGAACTGCAACGAGAGGAAGCAGAATGCCCCAGCCGTAGGAGAGTAGTAGGGGATGAGGTAGAGCTGACTAAGCCATGTGGGAAGGAATCGTACCCAGGAAGGAAAGGTGTCCCCTTGGCAGGGTTGATTCCAGCGTTTGAAATCTGTTTGAGGGGTCTGTACCCTCTGAATAGATTAAGGTTTGTAACTGGGTTCCAACCAGGGACTCCATCAAAGTCGAACCCTTACAAGACTTGGCATCCTGGCAAAGGACCCTAGATTTCGTTGATTTATTCAAATCTAGAGAATTTGTGTTATGGAAAGTCACCCAGTGTTGTCGCAATGGATGCTTGATGGAATTTAAGGCCAGATTTTTCTGGCCTTAAAGTACCTTAATGGGACCTTAAAGCACCCTCCGAATTTGGAAATGTACAAGACCGTCACAAAACTAGTAAGAGGACTATGAACAATATACATAAACTACTTAGATAGAGGTTAATAGAAACTTGTGCAAGTGCAGCATGCGACGCTGTTGGTCTTGTCCATGTGACGGAGGTTGCAATTGGAGTAGGAGTTGGTGCCGTTTTTTAAGAAACCTCAGGCTGTTGATACTCCTCCAGCAGGCTGGCCTTACAATAAGTCTTGGGCACATCATGGTTGGAAACAGAAACTCATCAAGTGGGATGGATTCTTTGATTGAAACAAGCGCATGAAATACCAGACAACACTTGTGGCAAAATCAGTAGATCTCTTGCGTGCCACATGTTGCGTTATCAGTGATCCAAAGTTGTTTCGCTCAAGTCTGCAGGTCCAACACCGTAAAGTGGCCCTGGCTCTGCTGCTGTCAAATTCTTTGCCGTCGCTTTACGTCCCTCAGGCTTTCTTGGAGGTTTTCGCATGTTGGGATCTGTGGCTGGCTTTTTGTGTTTGGGCGTGGTGATACTATATTGCACATATGTAGCCATCTCTCCTGTACAGGCTGTGCTAATTTATAAACGGCCTTGGAAAGAGTCCTGATGGTTTTTGACCTCAGCACAACTGCTACTGCTTGACATGTTGACTACTACATCTGGAAAATGCACAGTGGCTATGGGGACCTATATAGGCTTGTGTAGGGTAAAAGTGCCGTAGCATGGTACCCCTCTATGATAGTTGTTGGTAATAAGATGTCTGACTATCGGCATCTATATAGTCTCATAGATGTGTAGGCTTGTAGTTCCATAGGATCTAAAAGTCCTACGTAGTTTGATACAAATTATCAATGAGATTAAAATTAAATATTGGATGAGCTTCTTCGAGCTCGTCCAGCAAGTTTCCACCGTGCCAGCCGCTGTGTTTTTCTTGCTGAGAATTGTAATGTAACTACCGAGAATCGAACTCTGGACCTATTGATGTAAAATACGAGGTTGTCATTGTATATATTTCCCACTACGCTATGTGCACATGTATGATTAGCACTTCTAGCTTTTTATAGCGGCCATACAGTCTGAACTCCATTCTCCAACCTTTCTCAAGTTATAAACTTGTTTCCTTGAGCCACACGTACTGATGAGAAAGTTAATTCAAAACAGTGATACAAGTTATAACACCCCATGCACGTAACAACCATTGTTCCTGGGCCATAGTTGGGCCATAGGCTATAAGTAGCTATAAGTTATTTTTTAGCAAGGTCAATAGGGAGCAGAAGTGACTACGTAGTCCTATGTTGGTGCCTCAGTAGTACTGGAAAGGAGAAAAGAAGTCCTGTAGTGACCATTATTTCAGCTGAAACCGATAGCGAGAACAGGTGACTATGTAGTCCTACACGGGATGGGTGCTCCTACTGATTGCTTTGTAAACATCAAGGAACTACCTAAGTCTACTGACATGACTGCTACTATCGAGCAGAAACACATTTCCTGATGTACTCAGAACACACAACACTGAGGCCAGTGTGCCTATTCCAATGACATCACTTCAAGCTTTTTTCAAGGTGTGACCATGGTGTCGGCAATCCCAGCCCTACACTGCCTCACCTTAAAGCCCCTTGAAGCCACCAAATATAGGCATAATGTGCCTTAAGGTTGACATTAAACTTAATGTACATTACATTGCAGCAACACTACATCCACCTGCTAATGATGCACCCAAAATGAGAAATTAGCTTCAACAGATTTGAGCACCACCTTTCTCTACAAAAACTACATGAAAATCTCAGATAAATTCCCTTCTATCACTGTACCAAATTTCAGAATGTTTGACCCACATTTCACAAAGAAAAATTAAGATTATGGGTGTACATTGAGTCACGATCATATGAAGTCTGTTGTTTGTCACACCCCAAAAACTGTGTCAGGAAATGTTTATGTAATCTTCGGACTCTGAAATCGCAGTCCAACCTCATCATGTTGGATATTGGTCTGCTCCCTTCATGCCCTGACACAATTTTGACCTTTATACATCCTGAACATTGATTTTTTGGCTTTCTGAATTACTTTGAACACCTGATGAACACTAAAGTATGGCCAAACCCTGCTGGCAGGACCCTGTAGGGCTAGAAACCATCAACACCATTGTCAAGAAGATTAGTAGTACCACAGTGTACGAATGGGCTGCATACAGTTTAGCTCGAGCTCATTTCAGCTATCCTCAATGGACAAGACATTCTCTGCTGCACTGCAACTGGAGATGGGAAATCGGCAGCCTTTTCTATACCCTGTCTTGTGCTTTTAGAGTACAACCAACACCCCAAGTCATATTCCACTAATCTGCCCACCTGTTCAAGGCCAATTGGTGTCGTGATCACACCGACAAAGGGATTAGTGAGCAATATTGTATGTTTACCTTCTTTGTACACTTTCTGTCACTAACAACTTTCTAGGTGAACAAGCTTTCGAAACTCAACATATCTGTGTTCTCTTATTGCCACGAAAACCTCAGCAAGGCACAAAAGGCTGGGGTTCATTTGGCATGAGAGATCATGGAATGCATTAGGTGGCAGGTCATATGTGTGGATCCGGAGCATCTGCGCAACAAGGAATGGAGAGAAATAACCGCAATGTCCTGTTCGCTTGCATTGATGAAGCCCACCTGATCAATGTGTGGGGACTTTCATTCCATCCAGCATTTGCAGCTATCGGAGCCTTCTTCCATGGATGCTTTCCGGTGTCAATATCTACTAAACTTTCCCAAGGTTTCCCAGGTGATGAGATGGACGCTATCTATTGGACGTTGTCCATTTGTCAAAGCTCGGAGATGAATATCGTCATCCTTAGCCACAAGTTCGTAGATCTCACAATGAACATGATTAGCAACAAGATTCGTCACCCACGTGAATAAAGAAGGACACGCGTAGGAGATGTCAGCAGGGGAGAGTGACGGTGAGAATGGAGCATGACACTCTGAAGCATGTGGTGAGGCTGGTGAAGGTGCACTGTGCTTGTGCTTATAGACAAGAGTTATGATGTCTGAGATTTTGACCATGTTTCACCCTTGTATAAACTAGGGCTGCACACTGCTGCCGAACTTACGATGTACGGCCGTGAATATACGGCCCCCGCACCGTATCATGTGCCTCAGTGAAAGTCATCTATCGGTACGGCGACGGTACAGTAGATAACCGACAAGAATAATAGTTGACGGTCAGAAACGGCCGTTGTTGGTGTTTTAATTTCAAACGTTATCAACAGTCTCCTGCGGTCGACAAATCATCATTCGTTTCTTGTTCTCAACACGACGTGCCTACAGATACCTGTCGCATCATTGTCTTTCATCCCATAGGAACCTGTCACAGCACTACTTCTTACTTTTTCACTCTTTCTGTACACTATGCCATGAATGAAAAGGCTTCTTTTCGTCGTAATCAAGTTTGTAAATTCTGCATGCCCAAGGCGATTCTTTCAAAGGTTTGTACACTTACGCCCCCTCATAATCTTTTATGCGCATTTCAAATTCTAACAATCCTTGTGGCTGACAACAGTGATTTCTTGATATATTGCGGCTTGCAATTTCACCGTGAAACACAGGGAAATGTGCCTGCAAGCTCCATATTTATATGGTATGTTTTCAGAGGAGACACTACGCACTCTTTTCCACAATGCCTACAGAACTCGGATGCGCTATGGACACATCTGGTCAACTCAAAGATGCCGACGACATAGATTGGTACCACTCTGAATCAGACAGCCGCTCTCTTCCACGTCTTGCTGCATCCACTTTGCCTGCTGTGATAACAGGTCAATTTCTTTTTTTATTCTTGAACAACGTCTGATTCCAGCACTTCAGATGGTCGATGAAGTGGTCGAGGGGCGAAAATGGCTGACTATATTGCAGCTGAGGCCTTAGATTCTGACGGCGAGCCGATCCCGCCAAAGCAACCTCGAGCGGCAAATCGTGCCAAACGCTCTCGCAAGCCCCACGCAAAGAAACTTAAGCCGGATACTGGTGTTGAGGGCGATGACAAGGATGACGACTTCACGACGGGTTCATCGGATTCAGAGTCCAGCGACGGCTCTATTGAAGTTGAAGCAGTTTCGAATGCAGAGGTACGTCGCTTTTGTTTCCACTGGCTTTTTTACTCATCAACAATTGTCAGCTTGCCTCTGTCCTTCTCTCAAAGACTCTCCCAACGACGGGCCGCGGATCTGGAACAAAAAAACAAAAGCGTACTGCCCCAACCATTATCGAGGTTGAGGACGAGGACAGTCCACGTCGAGTTTCCGAACACTCTCCGAGTCCAGACGATGAAAACACTATTTTGGAAGAGATCCGACCTTTGGATCAAGTAGGACCATCATCCGGTAACAAGACGAAGAGTAAAGTATGTTCGTGTTAGATTTTCTTGTATGATTGACTAATAAACAACCCATTTAGTCTGCAACAAAGAATCCCATATACTATTTCTATAAAAGCGTCGCCCGTGGTGCTGATGGGGGGGTTGGGAACCCTGGTGACAAACATTTCCAGTGCTGCCACGGTAATCGCAAAATTTTCACTCTCAAGAAAACCGGAAAATCGAACCTCACATGTAAGTAACATAATTGCAACACTTCGCCGTAGCCTAACTCTGTTGTTTTTAGCCATGGTAAACAACTTGAAAGCATGCTCGCCAAGCATGTTCCAGCTCTTCGTTGCGTTGAAAGAGAGGCCTTCCAATCAACTTATTACTGAGGATGAAATCCGAATCGCTTCCGGCGAAAAGGTCCTCGACCCCGGAAAATCCAAGGAGTTCTTCAAGAACCTCAAGACGGCTTCTGAAAACATTCGCGCCACATTCGAAAAGCAGGCCGTCAATGCTGCCGTAAGTCATTTGATACTTTTATTTGTTGTTTAAAAGTCGCTTATAATTCATAGGATCCTTGGGATCAAGGAAAATTCAAGCAGCTCCTTGCTGAATGGATCGTAGTCTGTGACCAGCCATTCGAAGAGGTCGATAGGCCCGAGCTTCGTGAGCTCTTAACATACACCCACCATCCCGCTCCCACCCTCCAAATTCCACACCACGACGCTATTAAACGTCGAATAATGGAGATGGGTGAAGATAGTATGGAGTCCACCAAGCAAATGTTCAAGGTAAGAATCAATGTTTCAATTCCGAATGGAATATGTCTCATATTGTCATCAGGATGAGGTCCCCGGAAAGATCAGCCTCTCGCTCGACGCTTGGACATCCAGTAATAACTATGCTTTTCTTGCCATCGTCGCCCATTATGTAAATAAGGAAGGAAAGCTAGGTAACTAATAATTCCTGTCATTATTCTTACAGAGTATTTACATACTTAAAGAAGAATTGCTCATTGATTTTCGAGAGCTCGTTGGTGAACACTCAGGTGAAAACATGGCAGAAGTCGTATGGGAGACATTAAAACGATATGGAATTGAAGACCGTGTGAGTAATTTTTCAATTAAAAGTTCATGAGAAATGAACCGTTAATTTCGCACACAGATTTTTGCATTTATGCTTGACAATGCTTCAAACAATGATACTATGGTCGAAGGAATTGAGTCCCGAGCAGCCAAAGAGGGTATCCATCTCAACGCGGCTTGGGCCCGTCTTCGTTGCATGCCACACACTATCCATCTTGCCGCCATCAAGGTTCATCTCATCAATTATTTGTAGTTTATGATACTGAAGCTCATGTTACCTTGCAGTTACTTGAGGCAATCGGGGCCATCTCCAAGATGGAAGCCCAAAAGGCCACGTCCAGAAGTGGCAATTATCAAGATTCCACAACAGCACCTCTCGGTTGTTCTCACGATGACGACGCTGCTGCGCAAGATGACGGAGACCAAGAGGAGGAGGTTAGTTTATCCCCTGATGCATCGGGCAATATATTGCCTGCCGTTGAAAAGGTGAGTCGATTGTTTACATAGCTTAAGTCTTGAGCTGATGATATTTTGAGCTTCGTAAAGTCATCCGCGCAATTCGTTCCAGCCCTCAGCGGAAGCAGGCATGGTTCAAGCAACTTGAAGACTCATTTCGGGGCAAGAACGGTGTTGAGCGACAATGTGCGTTGATGCTTATCTTGGATGTTAAAACTCGTTGGTCTTCGACACATCAAATGCTGCATACGTCAACTTCTGTATTCTTCTTTTGTTGGTCATTACTCAGTAGTCATGTAGGACGTGCCTTAGACTTTGCGAAGGAAATCGATGAGTTCGTTGGGCGCCACCGAGATCTCCGTGCATTGGAGCTCGATGCCGCTGACTGGTCAGCCATACGTCTTGTTGCAGGCTGGCTCAAGGTCTTTCGTTCGGCTACTACTGACATGTCCAAGACGAAGGAGCCCATGCTCTCCACTGTCCATGCCATTTTCCGTGGATTACAAGACCATGTTCACCAAGCGTTGGCAGATCTTCCTGACTCTGCACCACATCAATTGAGAAACGGCTTGATTGAGGCTCACAAAAAACTCAGTGACTACTATTATCGTTCGGATGAGTCCCCATATTATACTTGGGCTTCTTGTATGCTTTTTCCTTCCTCTACTTCGTTTTTTCTTTCTGAAATTTGACCTTTATTTCCAGTACTTGATCCTCGGATCATGTATGTAGGGCTTAGAAGAGACTGCGCTTCGGACCCCACACTTCTCGCTGATTTGAACAACGCACGGGATCAATTGAAGACATTTTTCAACAAAAACTACGCAAATCGGACTCGTTGAACCCCTGTTCAATCATCGCGATCAAGTTCATCCATTCCTTCAGCCAGTGGTAGTGCCCCCCACTCACCCGAAAAGGTAAATTTGACATCGCGCTACCAAAAGGAAGACCGGGTAGTCGTCAACGAGCTGGATGAGCTTTACAAGTTAACATGCGAAGACTTTGATACCTGTAAACCCCTGGAATGGTGGCTTGGGAGACGGTCACAATTTCCTAACCTCTATCGCCTCGCACACGACCTTTTCTCGATTCCAGGTATGTTCATCAATGTTTTTAAGTTCATTTTCGATCACTCACCAGTACCACAGGTTCTGCAGTTGCCGTTGAACGTATATTTTCCGGGGGGCGTGATACTATCTCTCTACGACATGCCAGCCTCATTCCAGATACCATCAGAGTGCTGATGTTGGTCAAAAATCGCCTCAGGCTTGCACGCGTCAACCTTACAAAGAAAGATCAACACTAATATATACCTCCAGTAGCTAGTGTTAATTAAATTACTTTTCTTTCCTTGTAAGCCACCGAACACGGCCGTTTACGGTCATGTTCTGCACCGACCGTACCGCGGTTGGCTTGCAGATTGCTCGACAGTAACGGTTTCGGTGTACCCGACACCGTCATGCAACCGAATGCATACGGCCGTATACCGTTACGGTACGGTGCGCACCCCTAGTATAAACCGAGCAACAGACTTCGCATGAAAAACACCTCTTGGATCAGGCTGTCCAGAGACATGGCTTGGGTTGTAGAACGAAATTCGCCCACAGAGTCAAAGCCAGAGTCCTCAAGCAGTTGCTCCATCTGCTCAAATTTCGATGTGAGCCTTTGCGCTTCGTCTTGTGGAGCTTGTATCAGCCGTGGTTGACTGGAGGATCCACTTAGACAACAAAGCTCATTGAAAGGAGAGCCGAGAAGAGGCGACAACTGCATAGTAGATGATGGTTCTCTGAGCTCACCCGGATGTGAAAGAAGGAGAGAATTCGAGGCAGGGGGCAGAAAATGTGCGATATAATGTGGAGTTTCCGGCACCTCAACCAGGGGCATTCTCTGATAGGTTCTGATGGTTCTGACATTGTTTTCCATAGCAATTGAAGTTTCAAAGCAAATAGATTAAAATTTGGATAAAAATGGAGGACAGTAGGGCTGTTAATACATAAGGAGCCAGTTGTTGACAGTTGTTCACTTTCCGCCGAAAACCTTATTCTTAAAAAGGAGCGATATCATGTGATGCCGGAAACAAGGCGCGGTCGCGAACTCACGGAAGTTACTAAGTCCTTGGTTTTGTATTTCAGGAGGGAATTGCTCAATGGACAGAATATATAGTAAATGCACCCTAAGTTCTATGATGCCAACTAAAGCAAAGCCGTATATATTGATACTAATACACCTTTTGGGACAGTGGGTAAGTAATCAGTGGCAACTAACAATCGCGCCCACCTGGAGGTGTCGTTTCGCGCCCCGCCATCTGCATCCCGCCCTGAAATCTACCCCGTATGTTTGTCGTTGGTGTGGGACTGACGCAGATGAGAGTTGCGTCAGGCGCTTGCAGATGAGCGATGATGTGAGGAGCGAAGCTCTGTGTCGTGGGTCGCTTGGATATTCCCCCGCCCTGAAATCCACCTGAGGGATGTTTGCCGTTGGCATCGGGCTCGTGCGGATGGGGCCATGCCTAAGTGGTGTCATGCTCGTAGGCCGTGGCTTGCTTGTGCTTCACTGTTGGCAGCTTTCATTGTACTGTCGGCGCCGGGCACTTGTCGTCGTTGGGCTCACCTTTGTGCCCTTGCTGGGTGTGCTTTGTGTGGTCGGGGCGGTATTTCCGTTTGTGATACCAACACCGGAGTGGTCTTGAGTTGCAGGGCTTGCGACATTGGCGGGGGAGTTTGAGAGCTGGTGGCAGAAAGATCATTTGTTTGTTTCGCATCGTGTTTCCCCAGGTCATGTGATGTTTTACCATTTCGAGCAATAAGGTTTTCGGCGGAATCTCAAAAGTGGTTGTTGACGCACAAGGATTTCAAAGTCCGAAGATTACATAAACAATTCCTGACACAGTTTTTGGGGCACTTTTGAGATTCCGCCTCAAACTTTAATCCCAAAACGGGAAGTCGCCTTATTTTTAGAATCCAGCGGAAACCAAACAAACCGATATTTGGTGTCGTGATTTCTTGCTCGCCCTCGCCAACTCGATGACGGCTGCTCACAGCTCCAGGAGCTCGCCAACCCTGCCAAGACAGCATAAAGGTAGTATCTCGCCGGCTTTCCTACATTCCTTACTGTTACTACTAATGAGCATTCTTTTGGCCTCACGCTGGCACAACGAATTGACATAACCGCCGCAACACGAACCCGCCGCCATCAAAGCCTCGCATACGAAAATACTAGCCCCTCACCATCGCGTAAAACTGTCGCAACAAGAACCCGCCATCGTGAAAGCCTCGCGCCATCGCGCAACTTCATCAAAACGATCACTTGGAAGAATGGTACAGCGTGAGCGGTATCTCGCTTCTAGCGGTGGGTTGCGAGGGTAGAGCGAAGAGAAGCAGCAAGGAGGGACCTCAGTGCCTCGTGTAATTATGAATTGGAGGGCGGGATTTAGTAGAGCGGTTGAATGCTCGTGCATTCCAGAACAGCGTCGACATCTTGATCATGTACACTACAAAGTTACACTAAAATACTGGAAGTCCTGTGTAGGGTCCCTCCTCTCCTCCATTTTCGAAGCTGCAGGAAACTTAAAATGGCATGTACTCAGATAAGTAAACCCAGCGTCGAGCCACAAACCTTCGATGAAATCACTGAGGGAACATTTCTAAAAATAAGTCGATTTCCCTTTTTGGGATTAAAGTTTGAGGCGGAAAGTGAACAACTTTTTTGGGGCGCGAAGAAAACAGGACTACATTTTGCGTGACATATCAATATATCACGCGAGGACGCGTCGACGTCTGGTCACGTCGCTTCTCCTCCTTAGCTTTGCCTCAGCTCGGGTTTGTCTTCTTCAACATACGATGAACAAAACTAAGAGCTGCAGCGCTGTGGTTTTACTCGAACTACATTCTCCTATTTTACCGGTTCGATCCGATTGCCAAGCGTCCTGAGCAGCCTGAGCCACAGTTCTCCTATGTCCATGGCACGCATAAAGATCCTTTGTTCAGGCCACCCGAATGGTACCTTCTTTTTCTTTCTATATCTCTGGTTTTCTCTCATTCCTTCTTCCAGAAAGATACTTACTAGACACCAATGCTCTCTTCCATCCACGTCGTCTCGGGATTGATATGCCTGCTTCCCCTCGTCCTGGGTGCAGTATCTCAAGCGCAGGTTGATGCAAACGCACCTAGCAGGTACGCTTGCCACTCTCCCCCTTAAATTTCTTCTGACCTGCCACCCCACACCAGACAGTGCGGTTCAGAAATTAGTTCCGAAAAAGCTGCAGAGTACGAGCACCGATTCGACCTCGACAGGACTTCTCAGGTCCTCATTGAATCCGAAACCTCCGTGAACGCGCCGATAAACGTGTGGTTCCATGTAGTAGCCCAGAATAAGAGCATCGAGGGTGGTTGGGTTCCGTGCGTATCCTCCGTTCCTGTTAAGAAGGGACTGACTGATGTGTGGAATGAATGCAGAAAGGAGCAGGTGAATAGCCAGATGAACGTCTTGAATGCCGACTACGAACCTACGGGGTTGAAGTTCGTACTTGCGGGCGTTGATTATACGATTAACCAAGATTGGTTCATGAATGGAGGGCCGCAGACGTTCGGTTTTCCCCTTTTTCCCTACCTTTTTACCTTGCTTATTTCAGCCCTGCTTATGACAGGACGCAACAAACCCAGATGAAAGCGAAACTTCGGATAGGTGGTGCGGCCGACTTGAACCTTTATTCCGTCGAGTACGCACATACTCCCAGTTCACTCCTACCTTGTTAATAATTTCGTCTCGACAGCTTCTCCGGAGATTGGATGGGCCTCCTCGGATACTCTACGTTCCCCGTCGCGTACAGCAACGCGCCAAAGGACGATGGGGTGGTGGTACTGTATACATCTTTACCGGGTGGGACTACGCCGTCGTTTAACCTTGGACGGACGGTGACGCATGAGGTTGGGCATTGGGTTGGGTTGTATCATACATTTCAGGTACGCTCGTCTCTTCTGAGTGATTGAACGCGTAGTTGACGAGGAGTGTACTTTGATTTAGGGCGGCTGCGAGGCGCCTGGAGATGGTGTCAGTGATACGCCGTACGAGGGTACCCCGACCAGAGGGTGTCCTGCGACTAAAGATACGTGCAGCCAAGCTGGGGTGGATCCCATTCGTGAGTAGCGCTTCTTCGTCCTCTTAGATTTTTATTTGCTGAGCGGCGGTATGTACTAGATAACTACATGGACTACAGCGTCGACTCGTGCTTGAACCAATTCACGAATGGGCAGGCTGAGAGGATGAAGAGCCAGATTAGAACATATCGCGGGATATCTTAGATGTACTTTTGTGATATAGACTAATTACACCCATCGATGGCATCAGTATCGCGTTATAATTATGTCGATCACTCGATTATCCCTCCGTTCTCCCTCCATCCTCCGCCTTCGCCCTCTCTCAACCATCTACCATAGATCCATCATGTCTACACAAAAACCTCTCCTAGTAGCCGTAGTAGGCGTCGGCCTCGTCGGCTCCGAATTCATCTCTCAACTCCTCTCAATCCCATCACCCTCCCCACTCAAACTCATCTCCTTAACTTCCTCCACACGCACACTCACCCTCGACCCCAACTCATCCTCATCTTCCGCCCCCCAACTCAAAAATGAATGGAAGTCCCTCCTGTCTTCGTCTTCCCTCCCCGCAGACCTCCAAAGCCTCACTACACGGCTCACAACCCTCGTCTCCCAAGACAAAGAACGTGTGATATTGGTGGATAATACCTCCTCCGACTCCGTGGCAGCTTTATACCCCACCTGGCTAGCACAAGGCATCAACGTCGTCACCCCCAATAAAAAGGCGTATTCTGGGGACGTACAGCTCTGGAAAGATATCTTGGAAGCAAGTAGTAGTCAGGGTGGGGGGCGGTACTTGAATGAAGCGACCGTTGGTGCTGGGCTGCCTGTTATATCGACGTTGAAGGAATTACTTGGGACGGGGGATAAGATCATCAAGATCGAGGGCGTTTTTTCTGGGACGATGAGTTATATTTTCAATGAGTTTTCGACGGGACGTGAAGGTGGACCGGCGTTTTCTGCTGTTGTTGGTGTTGCGAGGGAGAAGGGGTATACGGTATGTTTATTCCCTTCCTTCCCTCTTACCTTTTACAATGACAATCTTACGACTTACAGGAACCACACCCAGCAGACGACCTAAACGGGTTCGACGTAGCACGTAAACTGACCATCCTCTCGCGCATCATATCCTCTTTCCCCACCTCCTCTCCCTCCACCTTGCCACCACTCCAATCCTTCAAATCCGTCAAAACAGCCTCACTCATCCCCCCCGAATTAGAAGGGATACCCACAGGCGACGAGTTCCTCGCCCGTCTACCTGCGCATGACGCGCAGTTCGCCAAGTTGAGGGAAGAAGCGAGTAAGGAGGGGAAGGTGCTTAGGTTTGTGGGCGTTGTGGATGTGAAAGGGGGGGAGGTGAGAGCTGGGTTGGAGAAGTAAGCCGTTGTTCTTTTGTTATGAGAGAGTAAGGGGATGAGTGCTAATGTGTGTGTGTTATGAAGGTACCCTACTACCCACCCATTCGCGACGTCTCTTGGCGGGTCCGATAATATTATCATGTTCCATACGGAGAGGTATAGCCCTAGACCATTGATCATCCAGGGTGCTGGTGCGGGTGCGGCGGTTACTGCTATGGGAGTTTTGGGCGATGTGTTGAAGTTGGTTTAAGGGGGGAATAAATTGAAGAATGGAAAAGTATAGACTTGGAGGGTATGATGTAAAATTTAAAATGTAAAAACACTGGAGGAATCTGAGTAACTGTTCATCGCACCGCACTGTCGCGACTATCATTTATGATAACTAAGGAAGAGACTAGTTTCTCAGTTAGAGCAAGGTTCTAAGTGCGGATAACGTCCTCGTCCTCCGCGGCCTCCGCCTTCTCCACCAACCTAAATTTTTCACTCGTACAAACCGCATCCAGTCTAGATGATGTTGCGAAGTTGGGAGAGTCTAGTGATCACCAAGGAACCGCAATTTCTGCTCAGAATAAAACGCAGCGCTCTGTTGGGCCAGCCAAGGATCCGCCTCTACGATAGAGACCATCTCCTTCAAATCTTCGCAATGAACCAATTTCTTAACCGATTCTGCGTCCAAATACAACGTCCGGATGGGTGCGCCAGCTTGCTGGCGGTCTGAAATAAATTGATGAAGCATGTCGAAGTCGTCGTCAAGGGCCCGAACTGCGATGCTATCCAGCTGAGGCCAGCGAGGTACCATGGAATGGATACCCCCTCTGGAGGTCATGCCATGTAACACATCTCGCCAGTAATGATTGGGAAGAACGAGGGTTTCGATCCCAGGAAAGCAAAATTCAGCTTGATCGAGGGATAATTCTATCACGCCTGAGGCCGGACTGAGCGTTAGTGTGAGTGTTTTCAGCTTCGGAAAGCGGGGAGATTTCTTGCGCTGGATGTCTTCTTCCAGCGGGACGAGATCATCCCCGACGAATGGGGCAATGGCGATTTCTTCCAGATCCGGAGCTGAGATCGTGAGCAGAAGCTCAGAGACTGCAAGCATATTTCCGTAGACGTGAAGACGGCGTAGGGAAGGCATATCGCACACGCGCGATACCGCAACGTCTTCGCGCCACCAGACGAAGAGACGATCATAGATAACCAGCGTGATCAGCGATGCGGAACACAATTGTATCATCCTGAAAAAGGCCTCATAAGGCAGCGACTTCCTCATCGGCGCCAGATGAAGCTCAGTGACGTTGGTAAGCGGAACGCGGAAGTAGTGCAACCCCGTACCCCGCAAACGAACATCCGTGAGCCTCGGAGCGTCTCTGAGTGTAAGCTCATGATAGTCAGGCTCGGGCCTTTCTCTCCCCTCCACCTGAAAGCGTCGAAGGTGGGGGTACGTGCTGTGCTGCATTGACTCCAACACCACTAATATAGCGGGGGTGGTTTGGGTAACCCCAGACACCTCAATGGTATGGCACCGACGGTAGTGAGGTTGGAGGATATGGGCGAGTGAATGTGCAGAGTCGGTGGAGGGATGTTCATCAGGGCTACGGAAGTCGTAGAAAAGTCGCAAATCAATCAAGGATTCCTTGGATCTTTCGATGTAAGTTTGTATGGCGGACAAGTTCCAAGGCGGTGAAATATCCACGTTTGACCACAAGGCAGGTGTTGCCAACACGGTTTGCCGCCAATACTGTGATACTTGCGCGGGTATGAAAGGAAAGGAACGAAATTCATCTTCGGAAGGAAGCAGCATGGTTTGCGTCGTTTCGAAAATGGATCCTAGGAGTTCCGGTGGTAGGGTACATCAGGAAAATCACACTACCGTGACGGCTCGTGGGATGCGTGATCGATGTGGCAGCGTGGGAGCTGCTCGTCACAAGTTCTCACAACTGCCACAATTCTTCGTCGTCGCCACGATTGCTCTCACTCACCACAATCGAACTATTCACCACGAACACGCTTCCACGACTGCCACCATCCTCACTTTTCTCCTACAAGTCAATCTCACGCAACTTCAAGTCTGGCAAGCATCACACAACTCACCTCGGCCTCATCGTCTTTGACATCGACGGATCATTTTGCTCGCTTCCATTCCAGTTATGGAATAAATTTGCGAATCGTTGGATGGATTGGAATGACATGTTAAGTGGGATGAACAGTGTCCAGTAAGTTTTCGAAGTCTGTTTATTAATTTTGGCACCTGAGCGGCGAGCGCTCATTCATAGATCAACCCCTTTCTACCCACCCCACGGCGCCCACTTCCCTTTTGCCTCTGCAGCAACATCGACCCTCTGGGAATCGACCTCCCACCTGGGCATCGTCATCCCCCTACCACTTCGGCAGCATGATCGTAGATACCGACCACCTGGTCCCTCCTGTGCCGCCCTCTCAACAAGTCCCAGGTCCGACATCCTGCTCGTCATATCCGGAATTTTCTTTGGAGGTTGGAACAGTGGTGAAGCTTGTAGGACATGGTGTTAGGCTGGTCTTGAAGTGTCACATAGTCTAAGAGTTAACACGTATGCATATCTTCCACCTTGTTCCAGGAGATCTTGAGTTCAAGTCTTGTTAAGTACCAAAGTTTTGTAATTACATTAATCCGACAACGAAGACTCTAAGAGTCAGTAGATAAACACAATCTTCAGTACTTAAAAGCGCTTGGTAGGAGATACAGAATAACAAAATTATATGGAATAACAACAAAATTTTAGTGACTGAAGTTGGGATCATGGTGCCACAAAAAGTTGTGGCGCTGAAGCCGCCACCGCAAGTATAATGTCCCCACACGCACTTCTGGCGTCGTGGCCGGCGTGGTAAGCATGGTGCCACACCCACCACATGGAATGCGATTTTCCTGATGTATCGATTGGGAAAACTTCGTTTGAGTGGGATGGTGAGGATTTCGAGTCCAATGTACTTCTTCGAGATATTGCATGCATCTGATAATGTAACGACTTTGAGAAGGGGCAGGTATCGAAGAAGGTTTATGTGACGGTGTTGGGCGCAGATAGAAAGATCTATTTGAAGGAGTCGTGACTCTATTATAAGTACGGTTGTGGTCCGGCCCGCCGGCTACTGCTATGCAATTTCAATGGGCTTCAATGCCAGAAAAAAAAGGTATCATTGGTTCAAAGTCACTGTATAATCTATCCCGATCGTACGCGTGCCTCGGCTCGAAATAAACCTGAAAGAATCTAGTCATCACCAAGGAACCGAGACTCTTGCTCAGAATAAAACGCAGCGCTCTGTTGGGTCAGCCAAGGATCCGCCTCTACTACTATAGAAACCTTCTGCCTCATATCTTCGTAATGAACCAAAAATTTCTTGACCGATTCTGCGTCCAGGTACAACGTCCGGATGGGTGCTCCAGCGTCCTGGCGGTCCAAAATAAATTGATGAAGCACGTCGAAGTCGTCGTCAAGGGCCCGAAGTGCAACGCCATCCAGCTGAGGCCACCGAGGTACTACGGAATTGGTCAGGCATTGTAACATAAGCGACCAGTCAAAACTAGGAAGAACGAGCGTATTGATTCCAGGAAAACAAAATTCCGCTCGATCAAACACTGATTCAATCATCTCTGTGAAGGTCGAGCGAAGCGTTAGCGTGAGTGATTTCAGCTTTGGAAAGCGGGGAGATCTCTTGTGCATGATGTCTTCTTCCAGCAGGACGAGATCACCCCTGGTGTATGGCGCAATGGAGATTTCTTCCAGATCCGGAGCTGAGATGGAGAGCAGAAGCTCTGAGATTGGAATCATCGTTCCGTAGATGTGAATGCGGCGTAGGAAAGGCATATCGTACACGTGCGATGGCGCGAGGTTGAAGACGAGAGCATCATAGACGACCAGTGTGATCAGCGATGCGGAACACGATTGTATTATCGTGCAAAAAGCCGCGTAAGACAGCGGGAACCCCACCGGTGCCAGATGAAGCTCAGTGACGTTGGTAAGCGGAACGCGGAAGTAGTGCAACCCCATACCCCGCAAACGCACGTCGGTGAGCATCGGAGTGTCTCTCAATGCCAACACATCATGATCAGCCTCGGCCATTTCTCTCCCCTCTACTAAGAAGCGTCGAAGGTGGGGGTACGTGCTGTGCTGCATTGACTCCAACACCACTAATATAGCGGAGGTGGTTTGGGTAACCCCAGACACCTCAATGGTACGGCACCGACGGTAGTGAAGTTGGATGATATGGGCGAGTGAATGTGCGGAGTCAGTGGAGGGATATTCATCAGGACTACTGAAGTCGTAGAAAAGGCGTAGATCAATCAAAGATTCCTTGGATTTATCGATGTAAGTTTGTATGGCGGACAAGTTCCAAGGAGGTGAAATATCCACGTTTGACCACAAGGCAGGCGTTGCCAGCACGGTTTGCCGCCAATACTGCGATACTTGCGCGGGTATGAAAGGGAAGGAACGAAAGGCATCTTCTGAAGGAAGCAGCATGGTTTGTGTCGTTTCGAAAATGGATCCTAGGAGTTCCGGTGGTAGGGTATCGATTGGGAAAACTTCGTTTGAGTGGGATGGTGAGGATTTCGAGTCCAATGTACTTCTTCGAGATATTGCATGCATCTGATAATTTAACGACTTTGAGAAGGGGCAGGTATCGAAGAAGGTTTATGTGACGGTGTTGGGCGCAGATGGAAAGATGATCTTTCAAAGATCTATTTGACACGCTCCTTGATCTATTACTTCCACATACACCTTGTTTCCCACGGCCAAACCGTGCAAGAATTGAAGAAGTATGGAGGGAAACATAGTCAGTAGCAATGAAAGGTACCATAAACCCAAGTCCCCTGGCCCGCACACGGCACAAAGATACTCGCAACCCATCCCAGCACAAACCACGAAGTCCCCGCGCACGGAGGGAGGCGCAACACGCTCCCAACGGTCGACACGCCAACCCCGCCCACAGACCCCTGCAAATACACCCCCCTCCTTCCTGGAGAGCGCGGTGGCTAAAGTAGGGAGGGTAGCCCAGTCGGTCACCAGCACATCCCCGGCAAAAACCAAGAGCGTACTCGTAGGCAACAAAAAGAGGGCACTGGACGCAGAACGCACGACCACCCCAACCCCACAATCATACAACAACGAAGCACGAAGCATAGGCAATCAGTTCGACCCGAGCCATCGCCCACCGTGGGACGAAGACATAGAGTCGACAGGCGACGAAGGGGAACAGGGAGAAATTGACCAAAACTCCATGCAAACCGACAGCTTCAGCATCCTCGCGGACCGCCTCGAAGACGGCGACAAAAGGTTCAAAAACCTATACAGCTCCCTCGTAGAAGCCGGCAGCCTTGTGCAATCCCTGGAAAGCGATGGAATGCTGGGCATTATAAAGGCTGACCCAAAAATCACAGGATGCCTGACAGGTTTGTCTAATGCCGTCTTAGAACAGCCCTACAAAATCATCATGGAACAACAGGCGACACTCACACAGGCAATGCACGAGGTCATCAGGACCATGGCCTCACACATGGAGAAAACCGAAGCCATTGGAGACAAAGTCGAGCGTATGAGGGAAGAGACAACGTTCAACTTCTCGGCAATGGCTGAGCAGCTCAAGGTGCTCGAAACAGCAAATAACGCCACCCAAACCCGATTCAAAACCCTCGATGAGATAGTAGGAAACACAAGCCCACAGAACACGGGAACGGCCAAGAACACAAGCTTCACCACAAGTTACGCGACCGGCCCCCTTCCCAAACCAAAAGGAAAGACAGTCAACAATCCAGGACAAGAGAAGCCAAACACAAATCCGGCAGCAGCCCACCACCTAAGCCGCGCCGTCATACGCTTCCTCCCAGACGGAATACGGGATGAAGACCGCATGGAACCAGCCCTAATCGTCAGCACGATAAACAACGCCCTCGCAAACTCACAGTCTCTCAAAGCCAAACACATCAGGGCGGTAACGGCGTCATATAACAACCAGGGTAACCTTATCGTCTCAACACGCGCAGACCAACTTGCAGCAGACCTTCTACAGTATGCAGAATTATTCATTCCACTAATTAACCAGGGATACGAAACGAGCGCCAGAGAGGACAAGCGGTGGTTCAAGATCCAAATTGATGGGGTCAGCACACACACCATGACACGCTTCGGGCCCAGATCCGTCATCTCCGCTGAAACAGTACACGAAGAACTCTTGGCTTGCAACGTCATCTACGCACAGGCGATAGACAACATCGTTGCCCCCCCACGATGGATGCGAACACAGGAAGAGCTGGACAACACACTTAGGTCGTCACTCGTTTTCGCGGTGGACGATGAAGAGGTGGCCAGGGGAATTCTGCAAGGAAAGACACTGGCGGCCTTCGCACGACACTGCCCACTAAGGGCATACCAAGATAGACCCCCTGTCAAACAGTGTAAGAACTGCTGGGGATGGGACCACAAGGCGGAAAATTGCCCAAATCCGACTAGGTGCAGGCTTTGCGCGGACAATCACAAGGAAGAAGACCACCCTGCGGAACCAGATTGCCGCAAGTGCAAAGCGCTCGAAGAAAGTGACGGTATGAGCATAGACAGAGGCCAATGCCCACACAACCTCCACTGCGCAAACTGCTCCACGGAAACTCACATAACGGAAAAGGACCACCCAGCAGATGCCAGAAGGTGCCCCATTCGGCTCGAGAAGTATGGAACAGCCTGTGCCAATGAACGAAAGGCACTAAAGTCAGACAACCCTAGTGATGTGCAGGCCCGGCTTGGCCTGAAAGCCACGGCTATGGCCCGGCTTTGCACGGCT